TTTTGCTCGAACACGTAGAATTAAAGTTTTTTTCGATGTTCCGACAAATGGCAGAGACACGTAGTCTGGATAAGCACGTGTGACGTGAATATCGCAGGTTTTAATTCGTTTCTGGTTTTGATAATGGAATCGCTTTCTTACAGGCTTGCATTGCATTGCTTCCTTATTTTTATATTCTATAATGTCTCTAATTTTAGCATTTCTTTTAGAACAGGAAGGAAGTGGAGATTGCAGCGATGATCACGCAACAGGAGCCGGTAGCTCCTCCAGTGGCAGTAGTGACATTCCTCGAAAAAGGCCGAAAGGTCGATTAGATGAAAAAACCAGAAAGGTGTGTTCCACGGCGATAAATTTCTGCGGCGTAACGTGTTGCTTTTTTTAGTTGCTGGAAGATAGCAACTATTTGCGGCGTTCTGCAAGGTCGAAACAAAAGGATAGGGGCCGTAAAAGCAGCAGTCCCTCAGAGGTTTGATATATATTTTAACACCATTTTTCTTAGTAATTTTTAGTTTCCAAGGTAGTCTTTACTGCCATTGTTGGCAAATCTACATCTCTATTTTTGTGTAGCCTTTAGCTGTCCCATTTGCATTATAGTTGGAGCGGTTCCATAATGCAATGTGCCTACCTCAAAACCATGATCTGAATTTTACTGTACGTTTTGCCATACTAGGGTTAGAGCTACAATGACTTGCGCTATAGGAAAGGCGAGTGAATTGTTTCGCTGAGTTCTGAAAGGTTGAGAATCGTTTTCGGATAAGTTAAAAGCTATGCTGTAGTCCAAACTGTGTGTTGTCAAGTCAACTACTGAATCTTCTCGAGCTGCCGTTTGAGAAAGCCGCGTCAAAAAGTTGATAACAGGGGGAAAGGGTAGATTCAGGTCTGTAGAGGCTTGAATCTGCGTTTTTTTTTTGTATCAAACGACCATTTCCTAGAAGATGGGTGTGAGAAACAGGCTTGTTGTTAGGAGGATACACACACCGCAAGACTAGGTATGAAGGCTTCACCCAAATTGCACGCAATCTGGGGGCTTGTATCACATGCGGAAGCAGTGTATGTGTTTACTAGTATCCATATTTGTTGGGAAGACTTGTTAGAATGCACGCTTGCAGGAAGATGAGAGCAAAAGTGAGGACTCATCATCTGATTCTGAGGACTACAAGCGTAAAAGTCACAAGGCGGCTTCTCAGCAAAAATCCAAGAAGGGCTCAACTTCGACTCGTTCTCGTGCAACGAAATCTTCACGGTCAACAGTGGATTATACGGAAAAGGGATCTGATGAAGACGTTCGTGAATTTTAATTCTTGCTAATGCAGTTTTAACGATTCATTCAAATTCGTGGCCCTGTTTCAGATTGATGAAAATGACGTTCTCGAATGGGAAGATGACAAGAAGTCGCCGTCTTCAGTAGCAGTCAACGCAGAAACCATCGAGCGTGTGCGTAATCGATTTTTGGCCGGTTTTCGTTGCATTACTAATTGCGAGTACTTTTTTCAATGTGTCCATAATGGTCCTACCATAGAGAGATGTCCTTTCCTAGACGTCTTGGTGGTCCGTTACGCCGTGGTCATCTTTTGCAACCATGTTGCAATTCAAGTGTAGAGATACGTATCAAATGCAAGATGGCAGACTGTGACTGCGGCTTAAAGCGATGTACTTTTCAGGTGATCAAATCAAGAATGGGATCTGTTGGAGCTACTGGATCGGCCACCACGTGCTATAATGTGGCAGAAAAAGGCGACCCGAATGATCCGTCATCCGGATCACTAGAGCAACAATTCCTTATCAAGTATGTGATCTCAACTTCCTAGTACTTATTCATGCCTTCCTGTTAAGCTTAAGAAAGTATGACCTGTTTCTTTACTGTCGCTGATCTTCTGTTTTCCTGTCCTTCGACCTCGTACTGAATGTCTTCCAATGCGCTTGCTCTTATCGAGTTTCAAATTAGGTCGCTCCTTATATCAATTAACCGGCCTAGATAGGAATGGTTGATGGACTCAAATGGAGTCGCTCAGTCCAATACTCA